CTGGGGACCCACCAGGGCCCCAGGGCTCACCCCAGAGGATTGGGCCGGGTACCCCAGGATACTGACATGCACGTGCAGGGGAAGGGCCCAATTCTAAACTGCATCCAGGAGCACTGCACAGGGGCCAGAAGAACTGAGGGGAGAGCACCCCCTATGGAACCCCAACCCCACTTTCTACAGCACCTGGATGCTAGAAGAGGCCCCAGGCCCCGCCCATACCCGCAAAGACGCCCTTGCCCAGGCACTCCTTGATGCGGTTGGCACGGCGCACGTGGAAGGCTTTGGTGATCTCTTGGTTCATGAAACTCTCCTTGTTCAGCACGTTGGCCACCATCATGCGCAGGTCGAAGACCTCCAGCAGCTCGGCGATGATGGCCACCTGCATGAGGTCTGCGCGGCCCTGGTCCAGGTGGCCCGTGTACAGGTACTCCAGCACCGCCTGGAAGGGCCCCGGCTGGACCAGGCAGTCCATGGACACCACCGTCATCTGCTTCTCCCGCTGGGTCACGGGGTCCTGAACCAACTCCAGCTGCATGCTGACGAAGCCCCGTCCCCAGCCCGACAGCTCCTGGCCCCCGGCCCCTGGGAACTGCTGGCCCTCGCCCTGCACCAGCCGCAGGGGATCGTCACTCTGCGAAGTCCTGAGAGGGGCCTGGGCCCCCTCACCTAGGAGGCCCTTCTCCATCTCCAGGCTCTTAGTCCTGGCAGCTGGCTCCTTGGCCGCCCGCCGCGCCACGCCACAGGGCTCCCCAGCCTGGCTCGCCGACCCCGCCAGGGTGAAGAGGTCGTAGAACTTGGAGCAGGATGTGGCCAGGTAGACGCGATGGGCGAAGACACTGTGCCCCCCCTGCAGCTGGAAGACCACATCAGCACAGAGCGGGGTGCAGAAGAGGGCGGCAGGGCCCTGGCCACCACTGGTGGATGGCTCCGGGATGTGGATGACAGGCGGGGGCGGCTTGGGGGGCAGGAAGGGTGCCTGCAGCAAGGGCCTCTGCATCTTCTTCAGGTGGGATTTCCAGAACTGCAGGTGGCGGCGGGAGATGAGGGCGGCGCGGATGGCGTTGTCAAAGACATCCTTGACGCCGAACTGTGCCACCACGCTGGTCTCGTAGTACGGCACCCCCAGCTCCTTGGCCACCTCGTGGCCCCGCTCGGGCGGCAGGATGTCCGTGGGTCTGATGGGCCTGGCAAGGGAGAGGAGCCAACAGGTCAGCAGGGAGCCCCTGGCTAGAAGACAGTGCCAGGGCTGGAGGGAGCCACTCTGCCCACCTAGGCTGGGCACACCAAGGAGTGGGCAGAAAGTGCTGGCGAGAGCCCCGAGTGAGACAGGGAGATGCCAATGATCTGCTGGGCAAGGCATGGGTCTCAGGCTAGGTCTACACTACCCGCCTGAATGGGCGGGTAGAAATCGACCTCTCGGGGATCGAATTATCATGTCCTGTCGGGACGCGACAATCGATCCCCGAATCGACGCTCTTACTCCACCAGCGGAGGTGGGAGTAAGCGCCATCGACGGGAAGCCGCGGACGTCGATTTTGCCACCGTCCTTACAGCGGGGTAAGTCGGCTGCGATATGTCGAATTCAGCTACGCTATTCGCGTAGCTGAATTTGCGTATCTTAAATCGACCCCCCCCGTAGTGAGGACGTAGCCTCAGACACCCTGCTCCCACTCAGAGCCTACAGGTAGGCAGTGCCCTCCTCCCTGCCCGCAGCCCCAGGGGCAGGCAACTGGCATTCAGGGGTGCTGGGGGGCTGCAAGCAGCCTCAGCTGCGAAGCTGCCTGCATCTGGCATTCAGTCCTTGGGGCCCCAGGCGGGGGGGGGGGGGGGGGGGCCCCCCCCCCTCTGGGGCGGGGGGCGGGGGGGGTGGGTGGCCGCCCCGGGGGGCCCGGGGGGGGGGGGGGGGGGGCGGACACACCCTTACTTGGCCAGTGGGCGCCGGGCACGATTGACTGCCTCCAGGTCAGCATAGCGCAGGTCCAGCTGGCACCCTACCAGCACGATGGGTGTCCGTGGGCAGAAGTGCTTGATCTCCGAGTACCACATGGTCTTCACATGGCGCAGGGAGTTGGGGTTCGCCAGGGAGAAGCAGAGAACCACCACATCTGACCTGCAGGCAGGAGGGGGAGAGACGGGGGGAGCACTAGACCTGTTGGTCCCACCCAAGGAGGCTGCTGCCTTCGGGCACAGAGCAGCACAGCAAGCCCCCAGCTCAGACTGACCCCCACTCCCCAGCCTACATCACCCTCTGCACTGCCCCCAAGGGATCTAGCAGCCAGGCTCCCCCAGCAGAGCTGCCCAGGTGCTAACAGAGTCCTAGAGATCAGGGGCTGCCCGTGCCCACCTGCCCCCAGCCAAGGAGAGGGCAGATCCTTGGGGGACAGACTCAAGGGCCCAATCCTGCCTCATCAGACTTCTGGAGCCCCCAATGCTATAGCAGGAGCACTTCATGAGGCCCCCAATCTCCTGGAGGCTGGGCACCACGGGCACGTCTGCCAAGAAGCCATGGGATGGGGGCATCTGGCTCCTGTAACCCGAATCTCTAGGCACAAAGGTTACTGCAGCAGCCCAGCGTGGGGCACTCAGATGGCAGCTACTTCAGGAGCGCTGGGGGCCCCCTCACTAGCAGCACACGTGAAAGCCAACAGAGCCCATGCAAACCCTGAAGCGGAGCCCAGCCCTCCCCAAGCCAGAGGGACAGCCGCTGGGAATGGGGGCGGGCGGATCAGAGAAGCCTGTGCGAGCCAGGAGCGCAGTCGCTGGCCGAGCCGGGGCAAAGAACCCGTCTGGGGACGAGGGCAGCCCCAGCGACACAGCTCAGCAGGAGATGGCAGCTCACACTGCCAGCCCGAGTCGTAGTGGGAGGGGAGGGGATTCCCCATCATTAGCACTGAGGCAGGCAGCTGCCTCTGGCTGGGTTCCAGCAGCCTCCTGTGAATGGGCCTCTCCCCAAGGGGGTGCTCGGTCCCCGAACCAGCCCAGAGCACGTGGCCCAGGCTCCAGGAGGCCTGCCGCACATGCTGCCCGCCCCAGGCTGTGCATGGGGAGGGATGCTCAGCACCGGGGCCAGGCCCTGCTGGCAGACACCCCCGGAGCAGAGTGCCACAGGGCAGGAGGGGTGAAGGCACATGGGCAGCAGTTCCACAACACAGGCACCACTACAGCCGCCTTCCGAGCGAGGGGATGGGGCCTGGGGCCATCCCTAGACTGCCCCCCAGCCCATGCGAGAGGCTAAGCAGAGCCAGGCCAGGCCAGCACCTGGGAGGGGGGAAAACCCAGCTGTGGCAGGTGGGGGGCTCATGGGGCGCTCACCCCTCTGAAGTGCAAGGGGCACTGTGCGGCTGGAGATGCCGTCCCGTGCAGAGGTCGTAAGGTGCCCAGCACTCCGCATTCACGGCTCTGGGGGTTGCACTCCCCCGAGGCATAGGAAAGAGCAGGCACCAGCTCGCCCAGGATCACAGCGAGTCAAAACTCAGACGAGAACCCAGGAGTCCAGGGTCCCAGCCCCTCTGCTCTGCTCACTGCTAGCCATTTACTCCCCTGAACTTCCCCTGCCGCTTCAGCTAGCTGGGAGAGTCTCCTTCCTGCGCAGCTGTTCGACAGCTGCCATGCTCCACGCCAGAGGTGGCTGCATTTCAGTGCTAGGCAACACTTCCTGTGAAGTGCTTGGACGGGAATGGGAGGGGTCTGTTCCTGCGGGACCACCTTTCATGCCCACGAGCGGACACCACATACAGGTACATTGCCATGCTCCCCAGCCAGCAGCAGCCCTGTCTCCGAAGCGTCACTGGGATTCGGCTGGGGGTGCCCTGGCTGTGGGCAGAGACAGGCTCCCACCTGGGCGGGGTAGGTGGCACACCTGGAATGCAATGCAGGACGCCTGTGGGAGCCCTGCTGCCCAAGGGCCCGTGTCATGAGGCAGGGAGCAGCCTGAGCCACTCCTGGGCCCTGTTTGTTTTAGTGGTGCCTCCCTGAGACGTGACCGGGACGCACCCTTGGACTGAGGCCCACATCACAGACCAAGTGGCTCCCGCCTGCCTGCCGCCACAGGAACCCGGCCAAGGCAGGAGCGGTGCCCGGCAGGGAGGGGGCAGACCCCACCCCCGCCCCACGACACAGCGAGGGGCCAAGCCAGCGAGCTGGCTGCAGAGTTGCCACCCAGCCTGGACAGGCCCGTGCCGAGCCTCCGTGGGGTGAAGCACACACCGGAAACCCTGCAATGAGCGCAGCCTCTCCAGAGACAGGGCCTGCGCCGTGGTGGGGCCCAGCCCCGGCCCCTCGCCACCAGAGGGGAGAGCGCTCCAAGCAGCTGTAGGAACGCAGGGGGACCTGGGGGGAGTGAAGGGACCAGGCCTGTCTGGCTCAGCCCAGGAGGGTGTGGAACCAGGCTAGAGCGAGCCGGGAATCCTCCCCAGAGAGGGGCCGGGGGGCCCGTCGGTGCCTGGCAGGGCGGCAGAACCGGCCAGGGAATCGCCTCATCCCCTGTGCATTTCAAACTAGCCAGGACAGCTCTAGCCAGCCTCCCTTGGGACCCAGCGGGCCCTGGGGCGGGAGTAGGGGGCTCGGCCCCAAGGGGACTAGAATGGGACTGCTGGCCCCTGGGGGCAGGGCCTGTCCGTTGTGCTCGTACAGCACCCAGCACAACAGCCCCGACTCAGACACCTAGGCACGAGGGAGGCAGGGATCAGCATGGTGGGTGAGCTGGCAGCCCCCCA